CATTCGGTGTAAAGGCCGGAAGATGTGTCTCTCTCTGTTGCTGGTTGATGCTTTGCTGTTTGTAGAGAGCCATGAATGGTGGTCTGCTGCTTGGAGCTAGCTAAGTAGGGACTGAAACTTCCAAAATTATAAGAAATAAACCTTTACTTTTTTCTTGGTGGGCTTTGGGCATTTTGTCCCAGCAACAAGAGTGAAAAGTAACTAAGACAAAATTTGGTACCAGAGGAGTGGGGTTGTTCCTATGACCGTATCTGATCACGTGGTTCGAGAGTCTCTGGGAACGGCTTGTGGGAAGAGTTTGAAAAGGTTTAGAGATGTCACCTGAATGCATAGAGCTGGAATAGCTTAGGCTGTTCTGTAGGGGAGATTCTGGTCAGAGCTCAGGAGACCAGAAGTCTGATAGCCTGCCAGTAAAGACCAGGCTCAGGAGGTTCCTGCTGAGAAGAAAGATTGCATTGGTTGTTGGACTCCACACAATGTGTGTTACAGCCTGGCAGAAAGTTTGTCTGCATTTTTCTCGTGCCCACAAACTTTTCCTAAGACTGGAATGTTTAAGGGCAATGGACTGATTAATCTGGCAAAGGAAATTTCAAGGCAGTCTAATGTTGAGGTGTTGGCATGACTATTGTTGGGGCTTTTAGCCAGGTTTATTTTGTGAATCAAGAGCAAAGAGCCCAGCCGGATGTTTGAAACGTTGTGAGTTTGGCCAGAAAACTTTGGACTATAAAGGTAGAGCTGAGACTTCGATTGCTGAGAAAGAACAGAGAAATAAAAAAGATGGTTGGGCACATCCCAGGAAGCAGGGGATCTCCATCCTTTGCAGTCTCAAAACTGCAAAAGTGAAAGACTGCTCACAGAAGAAAGCTGCAGAGCATGGGCAGAGGCCACATGAGATTCCAAAATGGCGACAGCCATTTGAGGTTCCAAAATGGCAGCAGCAGTACCAGGTCCCAGAGTGCTGGTGAGATAGAGTATCTTTTCCTCACAATTAGGTTCACAGAGCCCAGTGATCCCAGGCACTCGACCCCTACAGCCAAGAGAGAAAAAAGTCTGCCTACTGTTCTAGCTGGCAGCAAACCTTGACGGCACCCACATGCCACTGATTTTAGGTGCAAGGAAAATGCACAAATTCTGAGAGTAAGATGGCTTCTACCTCAATTGCAAAAGGCCTGGCAGGCCAAGCAGTGTGCTCCTGAGAAGACAATATGTAAAGTTGTAAGGGTGAAGCCAAAGGTGCACCCAGAAGTTTGGAAAAGCCAGGAACGTGAATCCTCTAAGGAAACCTGCAAGAATTGAACAGATTGGGTCTAAGAGAAAAGCTGTGTGAGTTAAAATTCCTGCAAGTAATGTGGGGTAGAATCTCTCAAGCCTTTTGCAGCTTGCAACCAGATTGCTTCAAATGCTGAGCATGGAACTCTAGGACTTTGTGTTCACCCTGCTGGATGTTGGACTTGCTTTGTTTCCAATACTTTATATTCTCGTTGGTAACTTTTGGAATGGTAATGTTTATCTTGTACCTTTGCATCTTGGAAATGTTTAATCTTGTTTAATTTGTACAGGGGTTACAGTTAAGAGTTTGCCATTGATCTTGGAGGAGACTTGAGACTTGAACTTTTCAGCAATGCTGAACCTGGTAGGACTTTGGGAAATCTTGGAGATGGACTAAATGTGTTTTATGTAAAGGATGTATGTGAGTCTTTGGGGGCCAGGAGTGGAATGTCATGGTTTATGTCAGTGGCCCCCAGTGCTCATGCAATTATGGACTTGACCAAATGTAGCATTTGTGATTGGTTTGTTGTCTAGGGCTTAGATTGGTGGTGTGAGAGCTACACCTTCCTAGGGGTGGGGCCAGCATTTGGTGTAAGGAAGATATGTCTCTCTCTGTTGCTGGTTGGTGCTTTGCTGGTTGCAGGCAGCTATGAATAGTGGCCCGCCATGCCACCTTGCCGTTTAGAGCCAGTTAAGTATGGACTGAAACTTCCAAAATTGTAAGAAATAAACCTTTCCTTCTTCTATGTTGGGCTTTGGGTATTTCATCTCAGCAATGAGAGTGAAAAGTAACTAAGACACCCTCAAAATATTTCTTTTCTTTTTTTTTTTTTTTGTCTTTTTTGAGACGGGGTCTCACTATGCAGTTCAGGCTGGCCTTGAGCTCACTTTGTAGCCCAGGATGGTCTTGAATTCACAATGATCCTCCCACCTCAGCCTCCCGAGTGCCCGGCTAATATTTCTAATCATGTTAGTACTATAGTATCCAGATGTTGCTTAAAAAAATCCATGTGATCATAACAATGAAGCACAATTTTATACTGTATGAAGGTACTTTTACAAATCATTAATAGCCGAGTTCAAGAGTCATAAAAATGATCCTATAATCTGACCTAATTCTTGTAGAATTTTTGTGAATAACAGATTATTATATATCCATTGATATCTTTAAATAATTATTAGGCAGGTGTGGTGGCACACGCCTATAATCCCTGTACTCAGGAGCTAAGACAGGAGGATCATTTTCAGTTCAAGACCAGCTTGGGCTACAAAGTGAGCCCGAGGCCAGCCTGAACGGCATAGTGAGACTCTGTCTCAAAAAGACCAAAAAAAAAAAAAAAAAAAAAAAAAAATATATATATATATATATATATATGCACATATACACAAATAACAGCCATCTAACTAAATGCAAATAGTTAAGGTACCGAATGCTTTCTCAAAAATATATAATTTTTCAAATACCTCTTTAGACATCCTGTATCAATATTTAAGTAGTTTTATAATGTTCTACCAGCTGTAATTGCTAAAATGAAAATTAAAGTAAGATTTTAAATGTTATAAAAATGATTTCTATCTTAATGTAACTATATTTTTGTATAATAAAATTTGTGAAGCAAAAAGAAAAAAAGGACCAGCATGCCATGAAAGGAGGATTATGTTAATCCACACAGGGCAAGTGCTGTTATATGGGCACCTTGTGTGTGAATGTGTCTTAATCTGAATGTGAGATCCAAAGTTGGGGCGGGACAAGGTGGTATTTCTGGCTTCTTTGTCTAGGTTCATCAGTTTTTATCTTTTCCCAGCCAAAGCAGCCCTCTGAGTAAGCTCTTATTACTTCCCAAGTAATGAGAGTCTTCTGAATTTTGGTGTCCACAATCTTGTCCTTACTGTTTTTCCTTCTGCCTGCCCTTCTCTTTGCCCACTGGTTCTGTTTACCACTGGTTGCCTGAGGACGTGCATTGCCACATGAAGTCAGGAATCTCTGTGGACTTCTTGTCTTTCCTTAACACTTCACTGATTATATAAAACGTGGCAGTGTCCTTCTCCCCTCTTCAAGGGTGATGATTATACATCCAGATCATTGTAGGATTTTACTAGTGGAGTTTTTAGGTCATCTCGTCCAGTTCCTCATTACTTTACAGATAAGCAGGCTTATACACAGAGAAGTTAAATGACTTTTATCTTGGTAATGTAGGGAGTACAGCTAAGGCTAGAATTCATGTCTCCTCCTAACTCTTAGGCCAATGTCCTTACCACTGTATTGGACTGAGAGGGGAGACTTTGCTAGAATGAGTGGCTATCGCTATAGCCCACTGCAGAAACCAGGCTGTCAGCAGGTGCACTGCCACCCTCCTGTAATCCCAGCACTCTGGGAGGCTGAGGCAGAAAGATCACAAGTTTGGCCCTAGCCTGAACAATTTAGCAACCTAGGGAGGTTTTGTCTCAGAATTAAAAGTCAGTACTGGGGGCACCTGAGGATGTAGCTCAGTGTGAAGGAAGGAAGAATATCAGATTGTTTTTGTTTTGAGATAAGGTCTTGCTTTGTAGGCCAGGCTGACCTCAGACTTGTAGTCCTGCTTCAGCCATATTATTGTTTCTCGTCTTCCTGTCAGCCTCTTCTGCCATAAGCCTGTGTAGAGATTGTTCTTGGAACCTTGTCGTGGAATATCTAGGTTAAGCAGGTCACACTGTTTGGAGGTAGAGCAAATCCTTGTTTGTTTGTTTTGGTTTTTTGAGACAGAGTCTCACTGTGCAGTTCAGGCTGGCCTTGAACTTCCTTACATAGCCCAGATTGGCCTGTAGCCCACAGTGATTCTCTTTATAGCCTTTTTTTTTTTTTTTGGAACTGGGAATTGAACTCAGGATCTGGTGCTTGCCAGACAGGCATGTAGTTCCTCCTTATAAAGGAGGACTCATGCGTGTTGGGTAAGGGTGGTGGAGGCCTTGTGACCTTGGATAATGTGGAAGCAGAAGGAACTGGCACCGCTCTGCCCAGTGTGGACTGGCTTTCTGAGGAGGTAGGGTTCTGCAGGACGGTGGCCACTGCATTTCCCTGTGGAGAATTATTCATCACCAAAGGGCTCTACTTCCTTCTTTGCTCCTCACGCTTTAAGGTAACTTCAACACTGGAGCGTGTCTGACACCCAAGGGTGTTGCCTTCCCCTCTCCTGGGCCCTCACTCCCCATTTGGGCTGCTCCTTACACCCCTACCTTAGAGCTCTTCAGTCCCTTGAGCCTGGACTCTGTCCTCAGGACAGTTGCCTTAGCATGGCCTGTGAGGCCCCTTGATCTGATTCCTACCTTACCCTTCCGCATCATTTCTTGCCACTTTTCTGTCATTTACTGTATTCTGTGTGAACTACGCCACAGGACTTTATCTTGCCTTCAGGCTTTCTGTACCCTGTTTGGCCCGGGACACTTCCCCCTCCTACCCTCGGGCCGACTCCCCTGGCCCTGTGGTTCCCAGCCTCCTCACACCCCTCGGCAGGCTTGTGGCCCTCCTCACTCACCCTATGTTCTGTAGTCTCCCCTCCGCAACCCTTCTCATAGTGTGCTGCAGTTTCTCATTCATTGCCTATAATCTGCACCAGACTAAATCTAGTGAGGGCAAGTTGCTCGCTTTTTGAATTCACCATTGCTCTGGCACAGTGCCTGGCACATAGTAGGCACATGAATAAATTTGTGACCAAAGAACAGATGAGTGACCCAAGTTTGTTGTTCTGTGACAGGAATGGGAAAAGGACAGCACAGGATGCCCTCCAAGGATGAGCTGGTCCAGAGATACAACAGGATGAACACCATCCCCCAGGTATGAGGAACCGGCCCTGCTCTGAGGAGCACGCTTCCTGGGCTGTCTTGAGCTACAGAGATGGTGGGAGCCATGGGGCTGGGCTGATGGAAGGCCATGGAAAGGAATCGGGTGTATGTCCTAAATGGAACACACTTCAGAGTTGTGTGGCCTTTGTCACCAGTAGGAAAGCCGAGGGCAAGCTGAGATAAAGATAAAAACTGGGCCCATCCAGAGAGGCCAAGAAAACAAACTTATGGAGGGAGGCCTGCAACTGTGGACATTGCGGGTCCCCACCAGTCATCACCAGCTCACAAGCTGCCTCACTGAGAGCTCAAACATCCTACCTATGTCTGCTTTGCCCCTTCTCTTTCAGACCCGATCCATTCAGTCTAGGTTCCTGCAGAGTCGGAACCTCAACTGTATAGCACTCTGTGAAGGTAGGTAGCATAGTCGGTCTCTGCTGACTTGGGTCCCAGCCTCTTGCTGTGATCCAAGCTGAGGGGCATACTGTGACTTCTGCCCATTTCCTTCCAGTAATCACATCCAAGGACCTCCAGAAGCATGGGAACATCTGGGTGTGCCCTGTGTCCGACCACGTCTGCACACGGTTCTTCTTTGTGTAAGTTTGGGCGGGGGTACTCTGGAGGCTGTATGGCCACTGGGAAGGGGCTGGTCATGATCTGAGCCTTGCTACCAGAGTGGGGCTGACCCTACAACTTCCTCCATGAAGGATGGGGCTGGGCTGTGCAGAGAAGAAACCAGATAAGTTGAATCCTTTCCACCTTAAAAAGTAGTGAGAAAGAGATTTGACTTTTGGAGTGGAACAGCCACACCTCGCAGTTTGGTGCCACTGGTTGACATTTCTCTGGTATTGTTCTCCCTTTCACGCTCACACTTGCCTGGTCTCCGGCAGATACGAGGATGGTCAGGTGGGCGATGCCAACATTAATACTCAGGACCCCAAGATACAGAAGGAAATCATGCGTGTGATCGGAACTCAGGTTTACACAAACTGAAGGGGCCCCAGCCCTCGAACACACTGTTCCCCAGGATCCATCTGCCCTCATCAAAGGGCTCAGGAGCAACAGGTGAGACTGCCCTGGAGGAACTGGCCATTACCGAGGAGCAGGACGAAGCTAGAAGAGGAGGCCTTCATGGTGGAGTCTGGCCCAGGCACCTCCAACAGTGGATGGCCCAGACTAACTCCTACCCCCAATTTGCCCAGTTGACTTCACCCTGTTTGTAAATAAAACAATAAACTGGAAGGTGCTGTGGACTGGGTATGATCACTGTGGTCTGACTGGCTGTGGCCCAGCACATAGTCCCAGGCCTGAGGGGCTGGAGGGGGGAGGGTGAGCCTCAGGCTGCACTTTGGCAGAGTGTTCTGCAGAGGGCCAGCACTTTATCAGCACAGTGTGGGTAATCTACAGTTACGCAGATGAAGCAGAGGACAACTGTCAGGACTTAAAGGGGCCTAAGGCCAGGGCAGCACGGATTTCATGCCCTCAGAGCCCACTTGCAGTCACTTTGGCCCTGTAGCTCAAGGGCTGGGCCCCGACTGTTCTTCCTCTGTTTCTTTGGGATACATGGGGTGAGGTGGAGCTAGCAGGTGCCAGAAGCTGGGTTGGTATGTAATTGGAAGTCTTTAAGGAAAGGGCAGCCAAAGGGTTTGTAGTAGGAATCTTGTTTTTTTTTCCTTTTCTCCTTTGGTTTGGTAAGACAGGGTCTTGCTACATAGTCCAGGTTGACCTTGAACTTGCACCAATCCTCCTGTCTCAGCCTCATGACTGCTGGGATTACAGGTGTGCACCTTCAGTCCTGGCTCAACCAAACCTTTTTCTTTATTTTTTTTTTTTTTTGAGTACTGAGGATCGAATTCAAGACCTCACACTGGCCAGGCAGATGCTTATACAGCTCAGCTAAATCCCTGGCTCCAACCAAACCATTTTTAAAGGCTGATTTTTTACCAGACATAGTGGCCTGCACATGTAATCTCAGCACTCTGGGAGGCTGAGGCAGAAGGATCACTGTGACCTTTAGGCCAACCTGGGCTACACAGTGAGTTCAAGTCCAGCCTGGGCAATTTAGCAACTTAGTGAAGCCCTGTCTCAAAAAAAAAAAAAAAAAAAAAACAAACAATCAAGAGTCTGTAGCTCAATGTGGATGCTTGGGTTCAGTTCCCCAGTCCTGGACACAGGTAACCACACACACAACAACTTTTGTATGTTTTTAATTCTCTCATAGCCTTTGACTTATATAATCTTTTTTTTTTTTTTTAAATCTTTTTATGGGTACCAGAGATAGAACTCATGACCGCCTGCTTGCAAGACAGGTGCTTATGCCACTGAGTTAAATCCCCAGCCCCTGGTAGTACTGTTCTTAAGGTGCATATCCCAAGGTGTTTCTTAAACTCCTGTACTCCTTCTTGATCAAGATTGGTACCTTCTGCTGGGCATGCTGGCACACGTGTTATCCCAGCACTCGGGAGGCAGAGGTAGGAGAATTAACTGTGAGTTCAAGGACAGCCTGGGCCATGTAGTGAGACCCTGTCTCAAAAAAAAAAAAAAAAAATCGCCAGGCATGGTGGCTCATGCTTGTAATCTCAGCGCTCAGGAGGCTGAGGTGGGAGGATTGTTTCAAGTTTGAGACCAGCCTGAGCTACAAAGTGAGTTCAAGGCCAGCCTGAACTGCATAGTGAGACCCTGTCTCAAAAAAGAAAAAAAAAAAAAAATCAGAACTTACCCCACCACGGTGGCATATATTGATATTTTCAGCTGCTCGGAAGGCTGAGGCAAAGACTAGCCTAGATAACACTGTAAGTCTTAGCCTCATGTCTAGACGTCCCTCTCTCCTGAGTAAATGAGCCCACTGTAGCTAAAGTCCCACCCCCCAGGAGGACCTCTGCAGCCCTTTGGTACCATGCCAGAATTACACTGTGACCTTTACTAGATAAGTGCTGGACATTATGCTAGACATGTCTATGGTTTGCTAACGCTTTCCATTACTTTGTATAGGTTTGCATTGTTGTGAGTTCTCTGCCTTGACATTGATTCATAATTTTCCACTAAGCCTGTGAAGTAGGAGCTATTTGTGTATTGCACATGAAAGAGCAGAGGCAGAGAGGCTCATTTCCCATAATTCCACAGCTCAAGGCAACAGCCTGATTCCAGTACTGATGTTCTCCTCCATGGCCTTAGGAGCGTTACAAAGATTTCTGCATGTAGTGCTGAGCACGAAGGTGGAAGATGAGTTTTCCTTCGAGATGCTGACCAGGAGCTGCTCATCTCCAGGACCCAAGGGGCTGGCCACATTTATACTTTTCCAGAGGTTCCTCAGCAGGTGCATGGCTTCTTGTAGAATAACAATTTTGTCTCATTTCAGAAATTATTAACAGGCTTCTCCCAATTGTAAGCATCTCAACATCTGATAAGGCAAGAACTACATTACAAATGCAAGATGGAACAGTTTTAGTTTGTTTTGATTTTTTGAGACAGGGTCTGGCCTCCAGCTCACAGCTTTCTGAGTGCTGGGATTACAGGTTTGCACCACCACACCCAGGTACAGATAATATGTATCACCAGGAAAACTCAATTTCTAGAGAAGATGCTGCCACAATCGGGGGGAAGAGCCAGGCTGTTTTGGAGGTGAGCAGGGCAGATAGGGTCTGCAGGCCAGGTGAGCAAAAAACTGTTGTCCCTCTCAGAGGTGAGACCTTTACAAGCACCACACCACAAGCTGCGTGGCCTTGTGCCTGTCACATTGTCTTGTGCTCCAGTGACCTCACCTCATTTAGACATAAATGTGCTTCGTTAGGGCCAGGGCCAGGAAGAGAACTACTTTCCTCAATTAGTTCCACGTAGGGAAGAGATGGCTGCCATTTCTGGACTGAGAACTCACAAGCTCCTTGAATTTAACCTTCCCTTCCCTCCTCTCCTGGTAATTTTCCGTCTGGCCTGGGTGTGGTTGTGACTAGCACAGATGTAGCCAACTGCTGGTCCTTCTGGCTTGGAGGAGAGGAGTCATGCTGAGTCATGACTGGGTGACTTACAACTCCTCACAGGAATCCAGATGGGGACTTGGGATTTTGCAGCTCCTGGAGCCACTGTAGGGTGGAGGGCAGGAAATCTTATGGGTTACCCGGTTCTCTACCTCCCCCTACCCCAGGAATAAGCTAAGCTTCAGGTCACTTAAGGGCACAGGACTCGCCACAGATTGTACTTCACACACAAAGGGATCAGCGGTACCACCATTTAAATTGTCCTTAGGACAGGACCTATATTCCCTTAGTCCTGCTTTCCTGCTCTTGAGGTGAGTGAGGTAGCCAGTGGCCAGCCTACAAGGACAGACACCGGTGGAGTGTGTTTGAAGGAGACGCAGACTCTGGCAGCAGGAGGACTCTCTGGGAAGGGGACACCGCCCCCTTCCCATCCCATGCATACGTCAGCACCTTTCAGTCTGCTCTGTCAGTGATGCAGTGACACAGTATACCCAGGCAGCGTTCTGGGGGAGAAGCAGGCCTCAGCTCTGGCCAGGCTCACACTCTTGGGAAAGGATTGATCAGGCCTCCAGGGAGAAGGGCTTGGTGGTTAGGACAAAGCCACTCTAGTAAGGCTTTTCCAGTGAGCCCTAAAGATTCTGGGCTAGAGAAAGACTGCCAGAGGTCACCTAAGGATTCAGGACTCCTCAGTCTTCCTTCTTGCTCTAAGTGCTGGGAAGCTGTTTTTTCAGGAGAGTGGGAAAAGCACACTCCATTGCACTCAAAATCAATATTCTCTGACTTTCCCCCCTCCCCACTGCTTTGGAATGGCCTTTGGCTTCACCTATGCCCTACCTTGTTCTCCACATGTAGCACAACCCACCCCCTTCCCTTTCCAGCTCATGAAGATTATTTTTCTCTTCCTCCTCAACTCCAGAGGGCCCACTCTTGCTTTCAGGCTTTGTCTGAGGGAACTGATGCTATCCTGGTAAGCCTGGGGAAGAGTTTAGGAGCCTGAGTAAACCACAGAATAAAGCCCACCCACTGTAGCTTTAGAGGGGAGAGCAAGGCCACAGTGATGTGTTCCTCCTTTAGCCTGATATCAAAGGCCCTTGGGTGGGCCTGGCTAGCTCTATTGTGGAGCAGAAACAACACTGCTGTTGCAGCAGAGACCAGGGGGGTCTCACTACCCACGAGAAAACCTGAATGTCCGGCCGGCTAGCCTGGACCCGTTAGTCTTTAGGTTGCAGTATTGAGTCCAGCATGATTTGCACACTATGACCCCACACCTCCTGGGTTCCCACTAAATTACACCTAAAACTCCAGATTCTGTGGTTCTGTGGCCAAGAATCTACATAGAACAGCAATCTGTGTCCTGTTCTAATGAACCTAATAGCTTTGCACCCTCACCCCCATCCTAAAGAAGTCATGGAGCAGAGGAAAGCTAGCTGGGAGGCTAAGGGCTTGTGTGTTCCAGCAGCCCTGGCTTCCATAGCCCTGGTCAAAAGAGAATATTGAGGGGTCAGCCTAGGTAAGCTGGACTTCAGAAGGCCAGATATTCTGGCACTGGATACCAGGTCAAGACCAGTGCCTCAAGAAAAAAGGTGCCTAGCAGGCACCATGCTGGAGTCATTAATGTATCAGCTGATCAAATTCCACCCTGAGAAGCAGGAACTGTCCTTTAAGTTATCTCCTGCATGTTAAATGCCAGTAAATGATTATAGTGTCAGTGAGTGGAATTGGAACTAAGATATCACCCAATCTCCCTCTTTACTGTGCTGCTTAGCATCGAGACTGTTTCCTTAGCATCTAGCGTGAGCAAGGATATGCTGGTTAAGTGGAAAAGTCTTGGACAGTAGTTGTAAAGCTTCGATGATCAGGATCTGCAACCAACGGGCACCAGCTTGCCATGGCTCACCAGTTTAATACATACACACTTCGATCTTGGGACAATACCTAAATGGAAAATGGCATCAAAAGGCACAGGCAAGATTGCTGCCACCAGGTGCCGTCCACCACTCTTTATAGATCTTTTCCCTCCAACTTTATGTCCTCTCACCACCTTAATAACCAAGCTCTTCCCACCTACATCCAAGAGGACCTGAAGAAATCAAAGGCTGTATTCTCTTGCATACAACTTTAGGCAGTCACTTTCTCCTCCCAGTTTATCTGAGTTATCAGGAAGTGAAATGAAGGCCTGTGATTCAGCAGGGTGTCTGTCTGCCGAGTAGGTCACACCCATTGGTCTCATTTTCAGGCAGAAGAGAAAAAAGAACCTAAGAAAACCGTATTCACATTTTTGAACGTGGAGACACTATCTGCTCTCAGAACTCGGCTGATGCAGGCCAGACTTACCGGCTGCGTTACGGTAACGACTCTCATCCCTGGGTGGTGAGACCACAATTGGGAAATTCGCAAAGGCGCTGTAGACAATGTTGAGGAAAATCCCAACGATGTAGATTTAAATGCCCAGCCGGGTCGCGAACATCAGCATTGCTCCTGCACAGAGCTGGGCGCTGACATTCTGCCTCAGCGTTTCCTGATTGTATCAGCGCCTTCTATTTATTCACTTTCTACTCCCGGCCACTCGCTCTGCGGGATTCCTGCTGAGCTACTCATCCACTGGCCCCAACCGGCCCTTCCTCGTTCCGGGGCCGAGCTCCCCGCTCCCCCTACCCCTACTCCAGGGACGGAGCCCTCCCGAGGCGGCGCAGAGCCCTCATCCATCCCGGCCTCCTCGCTCCCCACCACTTCCCGTTCCGCTCGGCCCTCTAGGGTTTCCAGCGCCGGTACCCGCGGGTGGAGAGTTCCAGGGCGGGGCCGGGAACGCCGCCCGGGGACCTACGAATCTGGGCGTCGCCCAGGGAGGGGAGGCCGGGGCAACTGGGGCGACCTGGGCGAGAGGCCAAGCGCGGCTCCCCACTGCGGAGACCGAGCTCCAGCGACAACAGGTGGCTCGGGCGCCGGGTGGAGGGAGGGGAAGGGGGAGACTCTGAGGCTGGGGGCGGGTCTTGCTGCCTCGCCGCTTCCCCATTGGCTTCTAGATGGTTGGCTGCTGCTATAGAACAGTGTTGTCCTTCCGCCCAGGAATGTAGTCCCCTCGCTCACCCTACAGGGCAACCTGCGCGTCTGGGAAAGGTGCCCACGCGAAGACGCAAGGGGCGGGCACTGCGGCCGTGCCGCAATTGGTCAAGCGCGCGGAGGGATCGCACGCCGCCTGGGTAACCTTGAGGCCGGGTCCGGGGCTCTGCACAGCGGCGACGCATCCAGAGCTTGCGCGGTTCTGTGCTTCTTTGTGCACCGCTTCCTTAGCCGAGCGCACGAGGTGAGCTGGGAATCCTGGTGAACTCGGAGCTCCTCATGGGGACCCTTGTAGCCGGCCAGGCACCGTGACCGGCACGGTGGGGCATCCTGGGCTTAGCGGACCCGGCCGAACGCGCGGAGAGGATGCTGCTGCTGCTCGCGTGCGGGCCGGTCTCGCCGCTCTCCCTCCCCGATCCAGTTCTATCCTCGCCCCGCTCTTTTCCTCCTATACTCGGTCCCATCCTCGCCTCCTTTGTCTTATTCCTGGCTGTTGTTTTTCATCCTTGCCTCCCGCCTTTCTCCCTCTTTCTTGGATGCTTAGGCTTTTTCCCTGCCTCACTAGTTTTTTCCACCCTTCGTCATTTCCCGTGATCCGCGTTGTGATGCTTTACAGCCTTCACTTGCAGTAGCTCCCTTTGCGGCCTCCAAGCCTGCGGTCCTCCTTCCCGCGCGCGTCCCCTGCCCCCTCCTCCGCGCTGGTCACGTCCGCGTTGAGCATCCCTACCCCGCCTCCTGTCCCTTCTCTCGCAGTCGGGTCTCCGCCCCCTCCGTTCAGGTCACATCCCCGCCTCCTCCCTCCTGGTCACGTCCGCCCCGCTTCCTGTGGCACGTGGCGGTCCTATGCCCCTTCCTCCATCATGCATCTCCAGGGCTCCTGGTCTGCGAATCTGGGCTCCTTTACAGCCGAGGATGTAGCGCGGGCGCAGCCAGCGGGTTATGTAACATGAGACGTCTCCGCTGCGGGAAAGGGGTGGCCGGATATTTGGGCTGGGCGCGGCCCCAGACGTTGCCCGAACCTGCGAGGCATCAAGGTGCCCATCGCGCGGTCTCGGGTGGGGCAGGTTCTGGGGAGTTCCCGCGTGTACACCCGAAGTCGGTATGGCTCGGATGTCACTGCCGGGTGGCATTTGGAGACTAGGATAACCGCGAAGGTCACAGCCTGTGAAAAGGTCTAATTAGGGAAACATGAAATTAATCTCTGGCTGAGATTGGGACAAAGATGGAACTTCCTGTTGGGCTTAGGGAGGCCGCAAGGGGCCTCAGGTGGCACACGTGCTGGGTTTGAAGAAGCGGGAAAGCACCTTCGAATCTAAAAGGTTATTTTCTTTTCTTTTTCTTTCTTTCTTTTTTTTTTTTTTAAACAATTTTTTTTTTTGTCTTTTTCCTTTTTATTGGTACCGGAGATCGAACTCACGACTGCCTGCTTGCAAGGCAGGCGCTTATGCCGCTGAGCTAAATCCCCAGCCCCTAAAGGATTATTTTCAAACCGGCCAGAAAGATGCTCTCCTCTTTAAACTATTGTTTTCCAAGCCTGGGACCTGATTCCTCTCCAGATGCGTGAAGTGAGCCTGCTTGGGAAATCTAGGCCTGGTGGTTGCACGCTATTTGGAATCACCCGTTAATTACCAGAGCACCGTTTTCCTCCTAGTGGTTGAGATACCGCTTTCTAGGCGAGTGTTTTATCTGCATCACAAGGTCTGATCTCCATGGTCCGGGAGTGCAACTTCTTAATCCACATCGGTGTCTGAAGATTTGAAACATTTCCCTGCCCTCGGCCCACACATCATCAATTATCTTTGGGAGTCGAACTCTCTAAATACCAGATATTTCCTGGAAACCAGTCCCCTCAGGAATCCTGCTAGAGTTTGCCAAGTAACAAAATGTTACTTTGCAACCCTTTTCACTAGGGCATTTTGGTCTCTTGAGCAGATTTAAGACAAAAAGACGTGGAGGGAGGTGGGGTGGGGGTGGGGAGTCAGTCTTTGGAATTTGACTTAAAGGTAGAAGCAGTAAGATCCTTACCGAGGGCCAGGGATTTAGCTCAGCGGTATAAGCGCCTGTCTGTCGCGAGTTTGATCCTTCGTAACCGGCCCCCCCCCAATCCTTACCGAGACTGCAATCTTCCTATTCTACTTCTCGGGCCCCCCAGGGTGTGCTTCTAGGATCTGTTCACTTTACTGGTTGGTGCGGGATTAGGACTGAGGCAGGGTTAGGGTTAGGATAGTGCCTCTCGGTTAGCAGTATTGGTAGGGTGTGGCCCCTTTCTAGGCACAAAAAAGGGCCTGAGTCAGGACCCCTGGGACAGCATTGTTAGCAAATAATTTGCCCTTGGGTGGTCCAAGGCTGCTGGTGGCAGCGCCTTGGGGCTGTTCCGTGGGGGAGGGGGGTAATGTAGCCCTTAGCTGGGGCTGTGGGCAAGATGAGCGAACCTTTCAGCTTGACTGCTGTTCAGAAAATTGTCTTCCTTAGGTGAGTCAGGGGAGGCTTTGTTGTGGTTCTGGTGGGCTTAAGAAAGCCCCGCTCCTTTCAGTAAGTCATGTGATGAAAAACCACGAATTTTCTGACTTAAAAAATGTCTCCGCTAAGGAAAAAAAATGTCCACTAAATCCAAAAGAGGCTGTCCAGGTCCCACGCACTTTGTACCACCCCAGGTGTTTAGGTGTAGCATGTCAAGGCCTCTGCCTGTATGCAGGTAATGCAGGCTATGCACCCACATTCCTGGGTAGTCTTTGGAGGGCTCAGTAGCCTCCCACAGGGCATAAAGTGACTGACAAAAGATTTCTGCAAACTCATTTCTGAGTCACTAACTTAAGTCAAAATATATAGAAGTGCATCTCCTGTCTAGCCCAGCTGCTTCCATTTTAAGCTTTATGTTGGAAATCAAATAGTTTTTAGTCTCAAATTTACAGTTTGCAGCATTCACCGCTGCACCCCCAGTAACTTGGTACATTTGATAGCTAGCTGCAAACCATACCCTTCAGGAAGTTGCATGTGTCCCTCGAATGTTGTGACATTAGGTGGTGTCCCAGGAAAAGTCATTTCTTTCTTTTTCTAATTTTTTTTTTTTTTGTCTTTTTCATTTTTATCGGTACCGGGGATGGAACTCACGACCTCCTGCTTGCAAGGCAGGTGCTTACTCCGCTGAGCTAAATCCCCATCCCCGAAAAGTCATTTCTTAAAGCTGTTTATTTCTTAATGTTGAGGCAGTGGAGAAATGAGAAAACAGCTATAGACAGGAAGGTAGAAAAAAGTGACTGTTGCATTACACACTTAGCTTTGGTTTCCTTTGCTGCAGCTTTTTTTTTTTTTTTTTTAAATATGCCAATCGGGATGTTGTTTCTCTTGGCTGAGAGCTAAGATGAGGGTAAAGGAAAGTGACTCATTTGACATTACCTCAATTTCTGAACCATCCCATATGCCCACAGTCAAATCCTGGCTAGCTAGTATATGGACAAGTTGTTCCTGTAAGCAGTTTTTTAATTTCAACTTTGCTGAGGGTGCTTTGTGAGGTGCTTTATCTGGTGCAAATTTGTACAATATCTTATATTGTTGCTTTAAGTTTCACTTTGAGTACTGATCAAAATAGAGCTAAGTGAAAGAATAAATGTAGACCCTTCACAGTATCACCATATTTTCTGAGACCCTGGGGTTTTCACGCAAGCTGGATTGTTAAGTAGTGCGAGCAATGATTAGGGCTTTGTGTTGAAGAAGCTGTTGGGGAAAAGTGAGCCGGGTGCCTGGTGGATGGTGATCTGCAGCCTTCCTGGCCTCCTAGGGTCTCCTAGTGAAACTGGTCTGGTGGAGGGACCCCTGGCAGGACCTTCAAGTGGTGCAATGAGACCACGCCCCTGCAGTGGTTTGTGCCTGTCTGCACGTAGCAAGGAGAGGCAGGCTGCAGTACCTCCTGCGGCCTCTGAGATTCACTTCCCCCAAGCTCTCAGCTTCTTGTGAGGCCAGCAGGCAGTGCTTGGGAACAGGCTTGGCTCTGGTTTGGTGGGGGAGATGCCAAGACCAGCTGTACTAAGACAGTGAGGTTGCTGGCTGTGGCATTTCAGAGTGTGGACCAGCTTAGATGCTGCTTTTAAAAAAAAAAAAAAAAAAAAATATATATATATATATATATATATGTATATATGTATATATAAAATCAAACTCAGGACCTTGTGTTTCCTAGGCCTAAAAAAACATATATATACATGTGTGTGTGTGTATATATGTGTGTGTGTGTGTATATATATATATATATATATATATATATATATATATATATATACATACATACTCAAACTCAGGACCTTGTGTTTCCTGGGCAGGCTCTGCCACAGAGCTACACCCTCACCCCTTCCCCCCCAACAAGAACCCCATCCCCTATCCTTTCCAGACATCTTTAATTGACCTGCAGATCACATTTCTTCAACTCAAAACAGGTGGTATGTCCTGAAATGCTTGGCAGATTTGCTGATCAGCTCATTGAGTCCTGGCACATAAGACATGGGGTCTGTGCCCGTTTTAGAGGAGTCCAGTAGTTTTCAAATGCTCATCATGAACAAGGCCGATAGCCCATTAAATTAGCAGATTTAGCAAATGTCACTTTATAGGTGGATGAACATTTTAAAAGTGACACTTTGAAGTGTTGGAAGGCAGGAAATCAGGTTACTAGTTGAGTTTAAAAGTGATCCGGGCACTACATAGTGAGTTCAAACCAGCTTGAGCTACATGGTGAGACTCAAAAAGCCCCCCCCCCATTAGTGTCAAGAACAATGGGCAATTTTAAATAAAATAGAAATAAAATAACCCAAGAATTCAATTTTTTAAGAAATTTTTTTGGCACTGAGAATTGAACACATGACCTTGCGCTTGCCAAGCAGGTGCTTAAACCATTGAGCTGTATCCTTGGCCCCTAAAATTCATTTCTACATGTAAAAGCTCACATGTGTCCTGGGAGGGTTTTTCTATTAATAGAGGAAAAACTTTAATGGAGGGGAGTTGGCCACCAGTAAGGGAGCATATTAATACAATGGAGTTACAAGAATTAGCCTGACCATTTACCAGCTGTGTGGATCTTACATGTGCGGAACGGAAAAGCAGATTACTCAGTAGTCTGCACAGTATGCTCCTTGGGACCGAAAAATGGCCAGTAAACACCATGGTCAAAACCTAAGTCTCCCTGTAGTTCATATATGTTAGTGTAAATTTTCCCGCATTCTGCCATTGGACATAGAGCTGCTTCAGCTGTTTCAC